CAACAAACGCGGTAGTGGTTAAACACTGTTTCAACAAGTCATTTATTACAACAACAATTTTTATGGAGTGAACTACATTAGAAGGTGGCAAACCATCATTAATCATACTCTTAAGACGTTAGTATTAGGCTTATATTTTTAACACTAAATTCTTTTTCTTGTCCTTTAGCGCGTCGTCTGTAAAGGATATGGCGAACGTAGTGTGGTTTGAAATACTTTTAAATTCTTAAAGGAACTAGATAAAGCATAGTGTTATATATAATTGGCCTAATACTACTGCAGTGAATATAGGTTATTATATGTATAACTATTACACACAATTACTCGAAATACAACTTTTGTTTCTCGACACTTTCTAGGAAACTGAGTTTAGAAGCTTACCAAACCCAACTTAGCTGTTTATCGAGACTTCGTCAAGAAGTGATATACTTACATAAACTGGTGAGTACACTACTTGTACCTTGTGATCTAATGTGTACTGAAATGTCCTCACACCTAACGTATAAAGCTGGGGTGGCTTAAGCCCCCTCTTGGGTGAAGACTTTAAGGGTCTTGTGTTTTATATACTCTTACATATCTGCTTGATTGATAATTTCCAGTAAAAATTCTTTCCGACAAACTTCGGCGATACACAAGTCCTTTCTTGATTAAAACTAGTTTATTCTTTCTCGTTACAAACTTTGTTACACACTTAATTTCCACATTCACTTTAAACTTAACTACTTTTATAAACACACGCTATAATTCACAGCGATTCACACACTTTACTTGGTGCCTACTGCTCGCTTGACTCAATTAACAATTATTTCTCTTCAATCTATCTCCGGCTTGTATACTAAAAAAAGAGGGCGTCTAGCAAATGCTGGGACATTCGTGAGGTTGTCCGCTAAGTCGCGATCCTTCTAGAAACTCCAGCGCGCATGCTCCCAACGTCACGTGACTTCCGCTGTCGTAACAATACTTTAAGTGATATTTTATTACTAGTACAAGTTGTCGAAATTCGATGAAATGTGATTGTGGTATTCATTCTTATCTAACCACTAAATATAAACTACTTGACCACTAAGATATGTGGTCACACTACTTGACCACTAAGCTCTTCCTAAATACTATCTCCGATAATACTGTTACTGTTAGTATTCATCCTCGTTATCACTTGTCAACAAATTCTTGGAACTGAACAAAACGACAAAAACTGAACTAGAAACTCTGAGACAGCTTGTGAAGACTGCTTTAAATGGGTAATGAAGGATAACCATGAACTATCCCTTACTATAAATGAAGCTATTAACGCTGTTTTAGAGAGGAAAAACTACCACCATATATTTTAAAGAATCTGGTTAGTTCTGTAAAGTATAGGTCTGTTCCGACTAATGTTGGTTACTGTCGATTGTCACTTTCTTGCTTGCTGTGATTTGTTGGTGTCTATTGACAGAAAGTCGTGATATCTAATTACAAACACCTTGGGTATGAAAAATAGGTGTGGCCAAAAAAGGATTTTGTGTACGACGTAAAGGAATGAAATCAAAATTAGAGGCCAAACTGGTAGCTACACTTGTAAATATTCATTCATTAGTTAGCCAGTCCGCGTATTTTGTTTTACCATTATGACCGAAGTTGAACAGAAAACGTTTTCTAACTAATGAATGAATATTTACTGTAAATTTCGTATCAATGCTACAAGTGTAGCCTCTAATTTTGATTTCATTCCTTTACGTCGTACACCAAATCCTTTTTTGGCCACACCTATTTTTCATACCCAAGGTGTTTTTAAATTAGATATCACGACTTTCTGACAATAGACACCAACAAACCACAGCAAGTAAGAAAGTGACAATCGACAGTAACGAACATTAGTCGGAACAGACCTATACTTTACAGAACTAACCAGATTCCTTAAAATATATGGTGGTAGTTTTTCCTCTCT